TACAGCAAAGGTGACAGTTCACACCCCAGTACACATCTCTGAATATTACAATAGAGTACAGGTGACAGTTAGGCAGACTGGTCTGAGTATTACACTACAGCCCTGTGCAGAAGCCCAGGGATCACAACACAGAAGAGGTGACAGTTAACATAACAGCACAGTACACAGCTCTGAGTATTACAATAGATTACAGGTGACAGTTTTAAACATTAGGCTGAGTATTACAGTGCAGCACAGTACAGGAGCCTGGGTATTACAACACAATACAGGTACCAGTTCACATTGCAGTACAGTACACAGCATTGAGTATTACAATCAAGTACAGGTGACCGTTTCAGACAGAACTACAGTACTGAGTGTCAAAACAAGTGACAGTTCAGTAGAGTAGGCCATGTCTTACAACAGTACAGTACACAGGGATGAGTATTATAATAGAGTAAAGGTGAGAGTATGGTACACTGGTGGGGTTATTACATTGGAGCACAGTAAACATGGCTGGATATTACAGCACAATACAGGTGACAGTTGACATCAGTACAGTATACAGGGCTGAGTATTACAATAGATTACAGGTGACAGTGTGACACAGTGCTGTGTTTATTTCACTGTCGTACAACAGACAGGGCTGGGTATTACAACACAATACAAGTGACCGTTCAACATCACCCTACACTATAGGGGTCAGGGTGTTACAATAATCCAGGTAACAGTTAACATAACAGCACAGGTCTGAGTATTACAGTCGAGTACAGGAGACGGTTTTGGTCAGACATCAGTGTTACACTGAAATTCAGTATGAAGAGTGACTGTTAGAACAGTGTAGATGTGACAGTTCAGTACACCCATCCGAGTATTACAACACAAGAGATAACAGTTCACATTACAGTACAGTATAGAGGGCTGAGTATTACAAATCAAGTACAGGGGACAGTTTTGGACAGAAACCCGTCTTACACTGAACTACAGTACTGGCTGAGTGTCAAAACAAGATACAGTTCAGTACAGTAGTCCATGTGTTACAACAGTATAGTACACAGGGATGAGTATTATAATAGAGTCAAGGTGAGAGTATGGTACAATGGTCAGGTTATTACATTGTAGTACAGTACACATGGCAGGATATTATAACACAATACAAGTGACAGAGTTACATCACCATACAATACAGAAGGCTGGGTATTACAACAGTATAGGTAACTTTTAACATTACAGCACAGTACACAGCTCTGAGTATTACACTAGAGGACAGGGGGCAGTTTTGGACAGAAGTCTGAGTGTTGCACTGAAATACAGGACAGAGGGTGACTGTTACAACATTGTACAAGCAATGTCAGTTCAGTCCAGTCCATGAACTACAAACGTACCCAGGGCTGCACATTAAAATAGGACAGCTCAGATTTGAGTATGAAAACGCACTGGCTGTGAAGGTTCGACAAACAGTTGTGTCACCGAGTATTACAATGCAGTACAAGCAAGAGTTCAACACACTGGCCGAAGTAGTTCTGTACAGTCCAGGTAAGCACACAGATTGGAGTATGAAAAAATATCATAAAAGTGAGAGTAAAGCACACAGGTGTATCGGAGTATTGAAACTCAGTGAAGGGAAGAGTGTAGGGGACAGATTCAGGTACGAATGTCAACTGCTGATGAAGGTTTAGTATACATCTATGTCACTGAATATTAAAGTTCACTTACAAGTGAGTTTGGCAACACTAGTTTAACTATTATAATACAGTCCACATGTTTGAAGAGTAAAGCTCAGTAACGCTGAGAGTTCAGCACACAGACATGAGTATTATAAAGCACACTGTGGGTCAAAGGTCAGCATACTAGTGTAACACTGAGTATTGAGGCTCAGTAAAAGTGACAGTTCAGTACACAGTCAGACATGCGAGTTCCCATCTGAGTATTACAACACAGTACATCACACAGGGCTGGGTATTCTAATAGTATAGTTGCCAGTTTAGCACAAAACATTTTGGGTATTAAAACACTGCAGGTGAGGGTGCTACGAACGATTGTCAGCAGCACACTGCTTGAAGTAGTCGAGTGCAGTCAGGGGGAGAGCTGACCACACACATTAGAGTATTAAAACACAGTAAAGGCTCGAGTTTAGTTTACCAGTCAGAGTATTACCACACATTACAGACAACAATGAAGCACACAGTTTTTGTATTAAAAGCTCACTGCAGATGAGAGTTCAGAACACAGGTTTCAGCAGTAAGGCACAGAAAAAAAGTACCAGCTATTTTTAGTACAGTCCAGGTGAGAGATAACCACACCATTTTAAAGCACAGAAAGGTGAGAGTTCAGCACCCAAAACTGAGTATTCAAGTACACTGCAGGTGGTGAAGGTTCAGCAAACCGATGTGTCACTGCTTATTAAAGTTTAGTCTAAGCGAGAGATCAGCACACTGGTTGAAGTAGGTGAAAGCTGACCACACAGATTTTAGTATTAAACAATTTAATAAAAGAGGTGAGAGAGTAAAGCACACAGATGTGTCAATGGGTATTAAAACTCAATAAAGGTAAGAGTGTAGCACACATTTCAGTATTGAAAGCCGATGAAAGCTCAGCACACATCCCTATCACTGAATATTAAAACTCTTTACAAGAGTTCAGCACACAGGTGGAAGTAGTTTAGTCCACACCACAGGTTTGAAGATTAAAGCTCAGTAACTGAGTTCACCACACAGACTTGAGTATTATAAAGAACACCACAAGTTAGAGGTCAGCATACTGGTGTGACACTGAATATCGAAACTCTGTACAAATGACAGTTCAGCACACTGGTTTAAGGATAATAGTACAGTCCACAGGTTTGAGTATTAAAGCCCAGTAATGGTGAGAGTCCACCCAAATTTGAGTATCAAAGCCGATGACGGTTTAAGTTCAGCATACTTTTGTGTCACTGCCTATTGAAGCTCGGTACAAGTGTTAGTTCAGTACACAAGTCTGAGCATTACAAAATAGTACCAGTGGGACATGCGAGTTCACATATCTGAGTATTACAACACAATACAGGTTATCACACAGGGCTGAGTATTCTAATAGTACAGTTGACAGGTCTGCAAACAGTTGTGTCATGAGTATTAAAGTCCAGTACACTGGTTTACTATTTCAGTAGAGTGCAGGTGAGAGCTGACCACACAGGTTTGACTATTAAAACATTAAATGAAAAACTGTGAGAGCACACAGGTGTCTCTGAGTATTAAAACCCAGTAAAGTTAAGAGTGTAGCACACAGATTTGAGTATTAAAGAACACTGCAGGTGAAAGTTCACCATACTGGTGTGTCACTGAGTATTAAAGTTCAGTACAAGCAAGAGTTCAGGACACTAGTTACAGTAGTTTAGTACAGGTGAGGGTTTACCACACAGATTTGAGTATTTAAAAAAATACAACCAAAAAACGGTGAGATTAATGCACACAGATGTGTTGATAAGTATTGAAACTCACAGAGTGTAGCACACAGATTTGAGTATTGAAGTACACTACAGATGAAGCTTCAGCATACATCCATGTCACTGAATATTAAAGCTCACTTACAAGTTAGGGTTCAGCACGCTGGTTTAATAAGTATTTTAGTCCAGTCCAGGTGAGAGCTGAGCACAGAGTTTGAGTATAAATGCACAGTAAAGGTTAAGCTCAGAGGTGTATCACACTGGTAACACTGG